CACACACCCACTCTCATACACCCTCCCACACACACACACACACACACCCACTCTCATACACCCTCCCACACACACACACACACACACCCACTCTCATACACCCTCCCACACACACACACACACACACACACACACACACACACACATACACACACACACACACACATACACACACACTCACAAACGGTCATTCAGATATATAAATATATGAATAGGGTGGGCAGCTAGGACATTTGTCATGATCATGATCAAAGAGAAAAAGACAAGGGCGGAAAATGAAACTTTTGTTTTCGATGTTCGTACCGGACGCTGGGCAGCAACAGGTGGTTAGTTCTTCGTGGCTGGGTAGAAATAGTTTAGGGGTCAATGCCAGGTGGTGGTCACTCATCTGATCACTAGTGTGGGTGGTTGGCGGGTGCTCAGGTGTGGTTTGCTCAGACTTCTTTCCTTATCTTCAAACATCTATCGTTGTCGTTATGATCCCCCTCTTTCTTTTTTTTGTGTTTGTTACTCTCTCTTGTGTGACGCCTTTCATCTTTGGCACTTTCTGATATTATTTTATTGTGGTGCCAGTGCTGTAAAACGCTTACTGAAACTAAAAACATTATCACTTGTGATATTCTTATTCGAGAGCGTCTTTATACTCCCGAGTCTCTAACAGCAAAATGAATTTATTGTGTATATTTTTTGGCTTCCTACTTAAAGAAACAAACCGAAAACAAAACTCAACCAACTGATGTAATAAATGTGGGGGCACTTCGTTAGCTAAGTTGGTATCATGCTGGACTATGGAGCGGATGGCCCTGGTTCAAATTTTCTTGAACTCTGGTCATTTTGTGGTGTTTTCAACGCTCTCAACCCATTTGTCTTTGTCCTGTTGGAGACGGATGTTAAATTTGGAAGTCCTGCCTCATAAAGTAAAGTAAAGTTGTTCCCACATCTAATCCGGACATTGGGGATTGCCTTGTTAGTGAGACAACTTCCTGGGCCTTTGGTGTATTGTGGTAGGGTGGCCAGTTGACTGTATGCAGTTGCGAGTGCCGTAAAACCTTACCAAAACAAAACAGAAACATATGTGTGTCTCTGGACCAGAAGCATATATATATATATGAGAAGTTAAACTTGAAGGTCTCGCCTCTTCAATAACCTACTAGTGTTGATTGGGGCATTAATCCTTTACCATTTCACCAATTTCACTTCTGTATGACCTAGTTTTGCTGTGAGTCCCATAAAACTAAAAATGTGGATGGTTGGCGGGTGCTCTGGTGTGGCTTGCTCCTTCTTTCCTATCAAACATCTTTCGTCCTCATCTCCCCTCCTTCTTTTTTTTGGTGTTCGTTGCTCCCTTGTTGTTGTTGTTGTTGTTGTTAGCGATTCAGTAGCATCTGAGCGTTAACTCTTCTGCATGATGCCATTCGGTAATAGTTGCATGTTTGTTCTAATTGTTGTCTTGAGGAGTAGAGGCAGTTAGATGTGTGGGGTAGCTTGGGCAGAAAACATCCCCTTGCCCCCTTGTAACACCTCTATTCTTCGGCACTTCTATATATGACGTTATTGTGTTGCAAGTGCAGTAAAACTCTTACTAAAGAAAAGAAAAAAACAACAACAACACCCCCCCCCCCACCCCCGTAAAAATAAAAACCCTCAAACAAAGGCGGAAGAGCTACTAATGAAGGTTTCACTTCGTCCACAGACCCGTCTTACCCGTTGACCAGCAGCCAATGCAGAACGCAGTTCCCCCTGGCTGAGTCCCACTGCTGAGCTGCAGTGTGCCGCGTCGTCGTCGTCGTCGTTGTCGTTATCGTCAAAGGATATAAGGTCGTGATTCCCCGCCGCACCCCCAACCTGGCTACTTCCGAAGCAGCTGCTTCCCGTTCGATGAAGACACTTCTGATGAGCGCCAAAGCTGGGGGAGGCAAGTCGCCTCAGTGTAAAGTGTGCGGAGACGAGTCCTCAGGCTTTCACTATGGGGTGGACTCCTGCGAGGGTTGTAAGGTACGTCATGTGACCTAAGTAGCCAAAAGCTGGAGAGGATGCATCAAGTTTTTATTTTTAACTCCTTGGGATACGTGTGTGTCGCAGCAAATTTTTTCTGTTATAATTTTCTCCATCAAATGCCTGATCTGGAACGGATGTAAGCCGTCATAGCTTGATTCTCATTTCACTTCTCAGAAACTCAAGATGAATGTGTGTCATTCTACGACGAGCATTTTCCTGTTATCCATCTGTTCAAGTTCTCTGTGGGTGGTTGGCGGGTGCTCTGGTGTGGTTTGCTCCTTTCTTCCTATCGAACATCTTTCGTCCTTTTCTCTCCTCCTTTTTTTGTTTATGTTACTCTCTTCTTAATCAATTCTTCGGCACTTGTTTGACCTTATTGTGTTGCAAGTGCCGTAAAACTCTTACCAAAACTAAGGCTACAACTCAAGTTCTGTAAGCAACTTGTTCTTGGTCTACCTCTTCCCTCTTAGCTTTACCTTCTGCTAGTTTTGCAGTGACAGAAACACAGTCTCAGCCTTTATAAATACCTGTGTCATGTAGGTTCAAGTGTCAAAGGTACTGCATTTTTTTCTTTCTCTCTAATTGTACTTTTAGCTGTGACTAGTGTGACCAGCCCCAGCTGACTTCTCTCAACCCTTATCTCATTGAACTCATTCAATTTGTTTCTCTTGTTCTGTGTTATTTTTATTTTCGATACAATTTGACAACCCTTTTTTAGTACTGGTCTGTTATATGTTTGGGTCTATTCTGCAGATGTACACAAGTTTTGGTGGTGGTTGGCGGGTGCTCTGGTGTGGTTTGCTTCTTCTTTCCTATCAAACGTCTATCGTCCTTATCTCCCCTTCTTCTTTTTTATGTTTGTTACTTTTTTGTAATGCCTCCTTATCGTCTGGCGCTCATATGACCTTATGCAGTTGCGAGCGCCGTAAAACCTCTACTAAAACAAACAAAATACAAGTTTTTTCTATGTATATCTGAATATATAATTATTTAGTGAGGGTGAGAGAGAGAGAGAGAGAGAGAGAGAGAGAGAGAGATTGACATCATTTTAAGATAGAGAGCAGTAGGGTTAATGATTTTTTTTCTCTATGGGAGACCCATCTTATCACCTATCAACTGTGTGACATCCCCCCCCCCCCTTTTTTTTAAAATTTTAATTTAGGTGTTGCTAATAAGTATTTTTCCACTCCTCTCCCACTGTCAGTCATTGTGGTATCTCAGCCCTGTGATATACAACAGGGTCAACTTCTTTGTCTTTGTGACCTATAATGGCATGTCAAATTGGAGATCAGGTGCGGGTGGTTGGTGGGTGCTCTGGTGTGGTTTGCTCCTTCTTTCCTATCAAACATCTATCGGTCCTTATCTCCCCTTTTTCTTTTTTGTGTTTATTACTCTCTTGTAACGCCTCTAATCTACTGGCGCTCATATGACCTTATGCAGTTGCGAGTGCCGTAAAACCTCTACTAAAACAAAAAATAAAACAAATCATCTGTCGTCCTTATCTCCCCTTCTTTTTTGTGTTTATTACTCTCTTGTAACACCTCTAATCTTCGGCACTTATATGACCTTATTGTGTTGCAAGTGCCGTAAAACTTTCACAAAAACTGAACTAAACTAAAGAGATCAGGTTGACCCTGGCGGCTGACACCACTGTGCGAGCCGTTTCCTAAATTATCCAGATCTAGCCGCCCGCGTGCCTGTTGCATGACAGCTTAGAGCTCACCATAACCGTCGTGTATTGATTTCTGCCACCACTGTCGCTACAGCTAATTGATGCCTAGTCTTGTTGCCACTACAGATTTGAAATATGTGGTCGCTTTTAAGGACAAGCGAGCTAACCCAGACTTCCGGGGGTTTCCAGACGTCTTGACCTACACCAAAATTGGGCATTGCTCTACCTATAGGAGAAGTTTGGTTTTCATTGGTGTGTGTTTGCTTAGTTATAGAGAAAACTCTCCTCCTTGTCTTTTAAAGAAACTGAACAAGGGTCCAAAAACTTTACCTTCGATTTTCTCAAAACAGCATTTTTCGGGATGGCCCCCTTGTGCTTAAAAGTGACCGCATCTCCTATATAATATAAGAATAGAAACATAAAACAGCTACAACATGAAAAGATAAAATTCCACTTTTCTGATCCCTTTTGGAAATTTTTTAAAACTATGCCGTTGTTTTAAGTACTCATGATGTACATAAGTACATTAATGCAAGGTTGCTTCAATACTGAAACACTCTACATCACAAGTATAGACTGTCCGCACACCACAGCCAGCAGAAATGCGCAAGGTGACGGGAACGGATAATTTTCATCGTCGCACAATTGCGTCAAGTGACCGCAAAGTGTTGAATGATGTGCACAAATACATTAATGCAAGGTTGCGTCAATAATGAAGACACTCTACATCGCAGACAAAGGCTGTCCACACACCACTGCTGGTGGCTTACTTAAGTACATACAAGTGATGAGTTACTTCTCGCAAACCACCAATGGAGATGCTGGCCAAAAATCGACATTAAGGTCCAATTTGTAGGTGTTCTATTGATGCCATATTCTTTAAATAAAACCTGGCGTCGGTGGCCTAGTGGTTAGGCTCTCGGACTCGCAACCGTATGGTCGTGGGTTCGAATCCCGTCAGGGGCCCGATGTTGTGTCCTTGGGAAAGGCACTTTACACGAATTTTCCTCACTTCGCCCAGGTGGGAATGGGTACCCGGCTATAGACAGTGAAAGATCTTGCCAGTTTGTTAGTGTTTGAGCGCTTAATCAGCTGCTTGCACTGTATGCTTCCCGGGAAGTTGAGAATGTTTCGGAGTGTTCTATGGTCTGCTGGGGTAATTATATAGTGTAAAACGCATAGAGCCTGCTGTTGAGCGGGGATATGCGCTATACAAATGCTATTTATTATTTATTATTATTATTTCGTACTTATAAATTGTAAATTCTTCACCTCTAAACGTGGTGTATCACAGTATCCAATTCATTAAGGCTTGAATCCAAGAAGTAACTCATTTTGTCAGCCCGCTTCCCATATTGTACACAAATACATTATTATTAAGGCAAGATTGCACAAATAATGACACACAGTCCATCACAAACTAGTGCTGGTGGCGTACATAAATACATATTGAATATTGTAGACAAGAAATACATAAATTAAAGATTACATGAATAATGACCCACAATCTCTGTCACAAACTTAGACAACCCACAAATGATTGCTGGTGGCGTACATAATAAATACATAATATTGTGCACAAATTTTTGATACATTAAGGAAAGATTGCATCAATTATGAATCACTATCGGTCACAAACATAGATAATCCACAAATGATTGCTGGTGGCTTACAGAAATGCATATTGTACGCAACAAATACTTTAATGGAAGATTGTGTGAATAATTACTTTAATGGAAGATTGTGTGAATAATTACTTTAATGGAAGATTGTGTGAATAATTACTTTAATGGAAGATTGTGTGAATAATGATACACAAACGCAATGTGTCTCAAACATAGATAATCCACAAATGATTGCTGGTGGCGTACAACAGTACATAATAAATACGTATTATTTGCACAAATACATTAAGGCAAGATTTCATCAATTTTGATACACTGTCTGTCACAAACATGGACAATCCACAAATACATAAATATACATGATGTTACCAACAAATACATTGAGGCAAGATTGAAAGAATAATAATGATATATACACAATCTGTCACAAACATGGACAATCCACAAATACATAAATATACATGATGTTACCAACAAATACATTGAGGCAAGATTGAAAGAATAATAATGATATATACACAATCTGTCACAAACATGGACAATCCATAAATAAATATACATGATGTGCACAACAATACCCTCATCCTAGATTGAGTGAATAATGATACATACACACAATATGTCACACGCATAGACAATCTACAAATGATTGCTGGTGGCCTACATAATAAATACATTTTATATGTATATATTTTGCTCAAATACATTACGGCAAGATTGCATCAATTTTGATACACTTTCTGTCATAAACATAGACAATCCACAAATACATAAATATACATGATATCCCCAACAAATACATTCATGCAAGATTGCATTAATTTTGATACATACACACAATATGTCACACGCATAGACAATCTACAAATGATTGCTGGTGGTATACATAATAAATACGTATTATTTTGCACAAAAACATAACGGCAAGATTGCATCAATTTTGTTCCACTTTCTGTCACAAACATGGACAATCCACAAATACATAAATGTACATGATATCCCCAACAAATACATTCATGCAAGATTGCATTAATTTTGATACACAATATGTCACAAGCACAAACAATCCACAAAGGATCGCTGGTTGCCAGTGTGTGCAGCTCCCTGTGTTTTTGAGCTAGGGTTTGCGTGCCTTGTTCAAGGCGATGTGCTCCAGTAACCGCCCACCCAAGTGCCCACTGTGTGTCACCGACACATGTCTGATACTATTATGAGACCGCTGTCTTTTTTTTCCTATGCAGCTTTGAACTGACAGCACGAAGCAGCAGTTGCTCACATTTTTAAAATAAAAAGTGGAATTGGAAATTAGTGGCTCCATGCTGGAGTAGTTTTGTAACAATACATAATGATTGAGACCTACAATTTTATTGGGTTTTTTGTTGTTGTTGTTGTTGCTCAGAATCATTAAAATCTAGCTCTATCTTATTCACGGAAATACTGAATGCAACCTTCATTAACATTTTGAGGTCTGAAGAGTATGTAGGATTTTTTTTTTCTTTCTAAAAAATACCCAAAAGGTCAATGTGACCAGGTATTTATGCAGGTGTATGTCAATGTGTCTGTTAAAAACATCGAAAAATTTTTGTGCTAAACCTGTGGGTGTAAATTTGACATCAGTATGTTCTTACCAAATGTGACCAACTTTGTCTCTGTCAGAATTGGTCCCAGTGGCCGCAGCAGAAGCCACAAGTCACCGGAACCTTTCAATTTATTCTTCAAATTCT